CACACACACACACACACACCTATTGTAACCTATGTCAAATTCAAAGTGATTTACTAAATACTTTGCTAGGTAAAGCTGTTCTCAGACTACAATACAACATATTTCTGACATGTTTCTAAGACAGATTGGTCAGAACACATACAGGATACTAAACTAATTCCAAACTGCTTATTTTCTATGGCCCAGCTTCTGCTCTGTATACACGACAATGAATATCCTGTGTTTATTAGCGTTTTCTGACCAAAAGTGTTCTGAAATTACGACCTAAGAAGAAAATCAGAGGTTCTAATCTTTAAAAAGTAAAACAGTTTCCTAGCTATAAAATTTATAAGGTGTTAATCAAAAAAAGACATGTAAAAAGTGCTTCATACTGAAACAACTTCATCACACCTTCACTCTTCTCTATATTCAAGGATGTCCGAAAACCACCCCCAAATGTCTATGTATCCCACCATCCAAAAAAGTATCCCAAATGTCCCAAAGTATCCCAAACAATCCTGAAGTATCCCAGACGTCTCTATGCCAATCCCCCCCAAATTAAAAGAAATACCTGGATTCCAGCCTTGGTTCCTCGAAGAGACAAAAATCATCTCCATCATCCCAAATTTTGGCTGAACATTTCCTGTTTCCACCAAGCTGAGGCTTGTTTGAACGGCCACTGCTGCCTCCTCCTCTTCCACTCCCTCCTCTTCCACTGCCTCCTCTCCCTCCTCCTCCTCCTCTCCCTCTTCCTCCTCCTCTGTTGGGCTTTCCTCTTTTCCTCACTGCTGAACTCATGTTCTCTTGCTGAAGAAGGGGAAAAATAGCTCTTAGTTATGAGGATGATTTAGCACATTGCATATGTCCAAGCACATATTATTTGTCTATGCGACAAGAGAAGACACCCTCTCATTAACCCACAGTTAACGATCCCTATGTGGGTGTGTCTGTATGCACCTGGAGCAAGGAACACTATTCTAGAACATTGTTCAGTAAGTTCTGTGGCTTTAGAAAACAAAAGTAATATTCCTCACAGCTATTCAGCCAAAGCTTGCAGGTTTGACAAAACTGTCTGGCCTCAGACCCTCTGGATTAGCCTACCAGCAGTGCTGCCTAGCCTAGGGGCTCCAGTTCTGCCACTCTGATGGAGTTTTCATGGACACCGAAGCCCACAGGAAAAAACTTAAGGGGAATTTTTGGGGAAGAAAGCAGCCTCTGAGCTGTCAGTTTTCAACTCAGGAGTTTGCAGGGTTGAGAGTAAAAGGGGGAAGGGGAGCATTAGCTGAAATACAGTGTTTTTTTCATGTTAATTCATATCAAACTCCTGACCCATCTCCTCCTGCAGAGAGCTGCTCAGACTGCTGAGCGCTCTGTGAAGCCTGGTCAGGGAGTGATTAGGGACTTGTCTTGGAAAACAGAACCCCTCCTCTTCTCAAAGCAGCATCTTCCCAGCGCTCCAGAAGCCCATTAGCACTGAGCAGCTGTCAGGGACAGAATGGCCCAACATTATGCTCCAACTGCACATTCCTGCTAATGGAAAGCTATTGCAGGGCAGGTGAGGAGCCGCGGGCAGCCTGTGAGGAGCTTATCACCTGGATCTTTGCACTGGCACCTCCAGAGTCAGGGCAAGAACGGCCGTGCACAGGTAACAGCCCAAACGAGGGCTTGGAGCAGCGGCAGCGGTTTGGGCTTAGAAAGCAGCAAACTCCCTCTTTGTGGCCGCTCTCCTCACTGGAGCTCCGCCGGGGCCGGACAGGAGCTCACAGACAAGCCGACCCCGCTGGGAGCAGCCCGCAGTCAGTGAGGGAGGCGAAGAGGGAGAGCAGGGCAGGCGCCCCCGGGGCCGCCGTCACACGGGGTCTGCCTCCCTCTCCCCAAGACCCATCCCCTGCCCACTCACCCACGCACCCGCCTCCCCTCAGCCTCTCTCGCAGACCCGCCGCGCACCCCCTTCCTCTCCACTCCCGCTCCCCGCGGACCCGCGACTCCCTCCGGGGGCTCCACCGCCTCCTTCCCCGCCCCGTTCTCACCTCCCCGCCCGGCACCGGCACTCGCAGGGATCCCTGACCCGGATCCGCCGCGTTTCCCTTCCGGGCCGCGGCCGCGCCCGCCCCGCTCCTCCCCGTGGGCAGGGCGGAGGGCTGCCTAGGAAAGAACGAGCAGTCAAGCGCGACGTTGAGAGTTATGTGCGACTTTAGGCTGCTGTGCGTTTTGTTGCCTTAAGAGAGCGCGGAGAAAAAAAAACTCCAGGCCAATTTAGTGTATAAAATAAAATAAAGAGAGTAGGTCTTTTAATCTCAGGCCTGAGGCCCAGGGAATACACATGACGTGCACCCGCCCAGACAGTGGTTCTGTGACTTTATAATAAGGTCCATCCAGTCCCCGATTTATCCATCCCCGGTTCTGCCCCGTTCTTCCCGCCGACACGCCCCTCCGGGAATTGGGTCTGTGGGTGTGTGGGACCCCTTCTTCCTCATCTTCATCTTCTTCACAGCACGCACAGTCTTTGGAGTTCCTCCAAAGTTCTGGGCTTGAAGGTCGCTGTGTCTGTGTGATACCTTCTGATCCAGGCTTTTCTACAATTCTACCTTGAAAAAAAGACTAAACACGCTAGCGGAATTTAGAGGGATTTATATGAAATGGGGTAACAGGGTTGGGTATGTTTAAATATTATGCTACAGGGTAAGGGATGTAATACAGCTACATTAAAATCTACATTTACTACTTCTAAAATCTACAAAAGTTAAAAAATCCAAAAAGCTCCGAGGCATCAGTTGAAATATATATATATATATATGTGTGTGTGTGTGTGTACATATATATATATGTATATATATGTATACATATATGTGTGTATGTATATGTACACTTGAATTTCAGCCAGCAGCTGTAACAGTGACACTGGCTGTAGTGGTTTTTTAAAGTATCTTTCATATTCCCAAATAAAGACAAACATGGCAGTTGAAAATCTTAGCAGGTTCTCATTGCACCGGCCCACAAGTCCTATGAGGAGCAGCTGAGGGAGCCGGGGTTGTTCAGCCTGGAGAAAAGGAGGCTCAGGGGAGACCTTATCATTCTCTAAGACTCCCTTGAAAGGAGGTTGTAGCCAGGTGGGGGTTGGTCTATCTCCCCAGGTAACAAGTGACAGGAGCAGAGGAAATGGCCTAAAGTTGTGACAGGGAAGGCTTAGATTGGGTATTGGAAAATATTTCTTCATGGAAAGGGTGGTCAGGCTTTGGAACAGGCTACCCAGGGAAGTGGTAGAATCACCATCTCTGGAAGTGTTGAAAAACCATGTAGATGTGGCACTTTCAGGACATGGGTTAGTGGTGGGCCTGGCAGTGTTGGACTCAGTGATCTTGGTGGTCTTCTCCAACCTTAACTCCAAAACTGAGTATGTGGGATCAAAAGGGAGGAAGGCTATACCAGCTTCAGAGTGAGGGTGATGTAAGTGACAAGAGACTCCAAAGCTGTGTTGCTGAGGGGGGGAGGCCCCTCTGCAGATCCCCTACACACACAGGGTAACCCAGGATAGCTGCTCTGCAGCACATCCCATCAGGTCTTGAGTAATACCTCCATGCAAGGAGAACCCACAACTCCTCCAGGCAACCTGTACCAAGTTGGAGTTTAAAGCAAAAAATCTTACCAGAAAAAAAAATTCTGCACTGGTTTGGCTGTATAAGAACCACCACACCCCACAACCCAGACACACAGCAGCTGCCCTGAGGTTGTTTCCTCAGGGTCCTCCTGCAGATGGCCACAGCCACTGCCCTGATGGTCTGCTGGGATCTGCTCTGTCCCAGGCCAGCTCCCCACCACCTCCACAACGGGGCTCAGTGGCGGAAAAATGGTTCATAAAACTGCTGCTGGTTCACACTCTGTGCCACCCAAAGGTGCCTGTTCCATGGGCCCACCTCTGGGAACAGCCTGTCAACAGGAGATGGAGAGTCAGGTCTGAGAAACAGCCCTGTGCAACAGAAGAAATGCATTGCATGATCTCCTGGGTTTTTGCCTCTCAGATGCTCTCTGTTTTGAAGTGAAAATACTTGTCTTCCATCACTCTTGTTTTCTAGAGGGGAACTGCAAAAGGACACCTGAGTATGTCCTCGATGCCTCACAATGGGGCCAATGCAACTATGTATGTCAGCAGCTGGAAAAACGACAAAGTAGTTTTAAGTATTCCTTCATTTTAAACTTCCTCTGTGTTTGGAATATCAGTATATCCACCCTTAAAAAGGCACAAAAAGGAAAGTCATAACCCAAAAAGGATCAAATGAATGCTGCAGGCTCTTTTTCCACCTGGGCATCTTGTCACAGCCCAGTCTGAAGACTTGACACATCTGGAGTCTTCAGGTGTCCTCCAGCCTCCCGAGGCTCCTGCAAACACACCAGTCATTGCTGGGAGACAGGTCCCAATGAAACATCTCAGCAGTGTGGTGTTGGTGGTGCCCAACACATACACCCACTGTGAAAGCCCTGCCTGAATGGGCTGTGCATGCAGAGTGGGCTCTCCTGCGTGTGTATATACACCACACACATATCCCACAAGGAAATGGGAGCTCTAGTCATCAACAGCTACACTGTTGTGTGGCTGCCCTTGGTTACTCAGTTCCCCAGGAATTACTGAGGAAGAATAGGAAAATTGCTTATTTTGTTGACACTGTAGAGGAAACAGTCCTTGAAATGATACAAATAGTGGTCTGTGACTTTACTGGATCTAGTCTGGCCTTTTTTTCAGTCTCTCATGAAAATATTGGTGCAACGGTGAGAATTAAGATTATGGCATAGAAGTGCTTCACAGCACAGATTCAAATCCCCAGGCATGGCTTAGTGGCCTAGGCTGACAAATGAAAGGTTTGCTCTGCCTTGATTCACAGAAAGAAATTCTGAAAAATTTAATTAACCCCTCAGTCTGTCAGGGTAAAGGAGTTATATGCAGTTCCATGCTGCATAGATTGTTAAAATCCCATGAGACTACCAGCAGAGGAGGGGTTTATTGGACACTATGGCCAGCCCCAAACTTCTAAGCTCTTACCTAAATTCCTTGTAAAAGCAGAAACAGGTATATCTGTCATAGTCACTTTCCCCTGCTTTATCATATCTGAGTGTGATAGCAGACTCCAAGGCAGCAGTGGGAATGGAAATTGTAATGAAAGGAAATAATAATGTAAGCATAAATATTAACCATTTTCTTCATCTCTCAAATGCAGATTAATGGTGCTGGAAGGCTAGAACATCCTTCTGGAGCAGTTTACAAAGGGGAATTCAGACGTTTCACAGGGCTGCAACCTGCAAATTTCCAAATGGAGCAAAGTACCTTGGTCTGTTCAATGAAAACAAGTATGTTTGAAATGGAAGAGTTGTGTAAACTTTTCTATTAGTTTTGATTTTATAAGTTGTAATGTCCAAATAAAATTCACCCCACGTAGGAGTAGGTTTCTTTTGCTACCAGTGAAACTTGCACTGGGTACCTGAGATTGCTTATCCCAGTTGTGTCCATTTCATGAGATCAGTCCAAAGTATGTATTTCATTTCCAGTCACGAGTTTTCAAGTTGGCTATTTCACCCACCCACTTTTTATTACCAGGTCTCTGGGCTCAGGTAGAGTTCAAAGAAATAGAACAGTTCAGACCTCTTTGAGAGCTGTTGTTTCAAGCTGTTTGCATTGTCTGCCTGTCAAATTTGCTAGATTTAAGTTTAACTTTTCTTTAAGTACTTCCCCCAGTCCAGTATCTGAAATAAATCTAAAATATGTATTTGTTAATATTTGGCCTTTTCTCAAAAAAACCCCCAACAAAGCTCCGTCTTACCCTCCTGACCAAAAATAATAGTCACAATAGTACTAGCATGATGACCAATTCTTTTTTTAAGGTGTCAAACTCTAAATGAGATATGTGTTATAGAATGTAACTGGATACAAAATAGAAACTTGTATGGCAAACTCTAATGTTTGGGGGAAAAATTTATTTCAATACTTTAGAACATATTGAGTTAATTTATACCTCTATTAAAATGGCATGTTAAAATCTGCTACAGAGTGTCTGTCTTTTCCTTATGTATTAGATGACAGATATGGATTCTGTGTGAACTTAAATCTGTGAGTACTCATCACTTCAGCAGTAGATCACACATGGAGCTTCACAGGCATTTTCTCTCAAAAATCTTAGGGTGATACCAGTACTCTCCTGTGAGAGGCCAGCACAGTGCTTGTCACTAGTAGTTGATCTGTAGAGAAAACCATCTGGTTCTGATTTGAACTTCTGATGTCAAGTAACTAAAATGCTGACGTAGGCACGCCCTTGGTAACAGAGATCCAATCTTTGCCAGCCCCTTCTGTTTTCACCGGGGAATGAAAACTTCTCCTTTTGACACTGGTTTGTGACTGTTAATACGTGTCACAAACACGAGTCCCTGACAGCTCAAACTATTGCAAACTATTTTGCCAAGTTTCAGGATTGCTACTTTCCACTTACACAAGATAGGTGCCAATTCACCAGTTCACTGTGGCTTTCATGAGAGAACCACAACAACTTGTTGCAACTACCAGATGCCTTCATTTTTTAAGGTAAACAAGACTCCAGTAATTGATTTTTAAAGTTATTTTCCCCTCACTTGCAAGGGATGATGATGCATAGACAATTCTGCTTTATACCAGTTTTCCAGGTATAATGATGAGCTTGATCACAGCTTCCAAAGATCAGCAGAAATATGTGGTTTGTGAGGACTGACATCACATGGCAGTTACCTTTTTCCCCACAGGAGGCTGTAAATCCTTGCACCTTACCAAAACACTGCATAGCAGGATGGGAAGAGCATGAAAGGATGGATTTTTACAGGAAGATCATACAGTAACTGGCTGCATACATCAGCCATACATCAAAGTCAGGATAAACTTAATAGGACTTAATCCCTGTTAACTTCAAATCATGACTGCTTTTTCCTGCAGAGGATGCATGCTGAGAAGACATTAGTACACATCCAGTTTTGCAAAGAAGGGAATATGTTCCTTGGATGAATAACCAGCATGCTTTGTAGGTCAAAACTTTTACAGGCTACAATGTTGGAGAAAGTTAAGGCAGGTACTTACACTACACTGGGAAGCTTCTGATTCCTGGCCACATCAGCTGCCAGAGCAAGAGACTGCATTCTCAACAGGCTGGATTTCTGTCAATACAGTAAGGAAGGTGAAGGAGAATTTTAAGATGAAAATGGAGTGGAGTGGCACATTTCATGGCTCGGCAGCAGTGGGACTGAAGCAGAAGTTGAAAATGCAGCTGTTTGGTACAGACAGCAACACGGGTTAAAGGCAACTCTCTGGGCTCAACAGCTGTGACAAGTTTTCAACAGGCATTGATTTCTTCATGTCTTAATTAAGAATTACCTCTGAGCATGCACGCTAATAGCAGATAAAATTATTTTCTTTTCAGACTGATCAACTGAAGTCTCTTTAAGTCTTTAAAGAAATGAAGTTGGGTAGGGTGAATTCATAAGTGCAGCAGTTGGTGACTGGAATTTCCTATTGGAAAGTCTTAAGCAATCTAAGTAGAAAAATCTATTTGCGTTTTTGTTTGCATTTGGTCATCAATGTCTCTACACTATGAACCTAAGTACTTTGCTTTATAAAAGAGAAAAGCTGCTTTCTAGTTAAAAAAAAACAAACAAAACACAATATACCAGTACTGTCAGGAAAAAACGTGTTGAGTCTTTGCTTGCCAGATATTTAATGGAGTTTTAGTAAATACCACTCCTTGCCTCCATTTGAAGACACAATGTACAAGTGCTGTTCCTTCAGATGTGCCTTTAAATACTGTCCTAGTTAGGACAACTGAGACCAGTTCATCATGGTATGGGTGTAACCCAAAACTGTGTATTCTATAGCCTTCCATGCCATTTCCCAGAAACTGTTGTCAATAGACTATTCACACCCTCTGCCCATAAGAGCCTGACTCCTCAGGCTATAAACTAGGTGTTAAGAGGCCTGTGAGATAGGAGGGTGCCCCCTGTCCTCACACCCTTTGTGGAACTCCCCGCCCTGAGGGAAGTATTGAGCATTCCTGCCTGAACTGGAGGATGTATAATCTTGGAGTCTTGGAACATTTTTAACCACTCGTGGGATCCAGAGGAAGACTGCATCTCATCGCTCTCAACCTCAGCTGGACTGCAATCACCACTTCTGACCAGACTGCAACAGCTCTCCCACCAGCAGGTTTTTTTTCCCCTCTCCCTTTACTTTGGACTCAAGCGGGGCCCAAGGAACACCACTTTGTTCATGCCCCAAGGTACTGGGTTATACATTTGGGTTTTGTGGGTTAAGACCAATTGTTTGTTTGTATGATTGTACTTACTGTATTATTTTAATAAATTGTTATTCTGACTTATAATCTCTCCTTTGAGTTGGGTTCATTTCCCCTGCTGGTTAACTCTTAAACCAGCACAAATACACAGCTAATTTTGCTAGGATTCAGAAACATCTTGGGCCCTGTGGTTTATTAGCAAAATGAAAAACCAGCACATTATCAGCAAATAGACATACTGGGCCATCTGAAACAAAGCAGCTCATGGATCACTTGGCAATATAATGTCTTACAGCCCTTCTTCTTAAACTGCCTGTAAGAAAATCCATATTTGAAATGTTTTGTTCATAGATTCATCTAAATGTTCTTATTTATTAAAAAACAAACCCTTCCTAGCTTGAACTGTTTGTTGAATTCATGGGTATCTTTGACTCAACAAAAATGCACTTTCTGGCAAACTCCTTCAGAATTATAATTTTATTTTGTTCAATTTTGTTGTGTTTTGCTTCTGAAATAGCCAGCTCCAAAAAAAGAAATACTGTGTCCTCTGTCCCTAGTCCTTGACTTCAGAGGTAGCAGCGTCTTCCACAGAGCTTCTGTTAATTTAGGAGCTTGTCCTTTCAGCTCATTTGCTAAGGCTCCACATTTATCTGTGCTGCACAGCAATTATACTGATTTAGTCTGTGCAGTTTTACATTTCAGGTTTTCTGCCTGAAGGGTATATTTGAAGTAGATCTTTGTCTTTCAGGGAGACATTACTTTGCCCTTTGTTACTGTGCCTCCTCCTTTATGTCTCCATGTTCTTACCCTTCAGAGCAGCTCACTGGACTGGCTCAAACTTTTCCTTGACACATTTCCCTGACACCTGGCCTTGGATTACTTGCATTCTCCACATGCTTTCTTGATGCTCTTTGGAGCAAAAAGCCCTCCAGTAAAGGGCTGATCCTCCTAAGTGAAGAAATGGAGCAGGTGTGGAGGGCTGTTGCTCCCCACCCTCCAAGACCTAATTTGTTTTTACTCAAAGAAAATTTGTCATGATCTAACAAGAAACAGAAAATACTCAAGTGCTGGTGATTCCTGCTCCCCTGCCCTGGCTACTTTGGCAATCTTGCTCTTGGCCCCTGAGCCCTCTTGGCCCTAGCATCCCTAGCGAGGCCATGCCTGGTAAGAGATGGTGTCAGAGAAAGTAGGGAGGAGCTGGTCCCATTTCCCTGTCCCCGTCAACGGGAAGTTGTCTTGTTTGGGTGCTACAGAAGGTACTTAAGATCCTCTGAGCTTGGCAAAGTAGCACAGACCACATCAGCACCTGGCTCTCACCACATGGCCCCCTCTGCCGTCACTTCACAGGGCTTCTCACCCTCCCTCTGCAGCAGTGGGCAATTCTAATTAAAAAGGAAGAAAATCTGTATCATCTTCTTCCAAGTGCACAGTCCTGATTTTTACATGGGCATGCGAGGATGTGACCTGAAGATTATATAATTAGAAGGCATTTGTTATGCTAGCGTTTCAAATCAGTGATTAGCATGTGACAGTCCCATCCTGGGAGCCACCATTGCTCTACTCTCTCTCCTGTCTTGCACAGTGCTAATTCCCAACTCTAGCAACCGCCGGTGCTGAAGGATCTTCAGCTAGCCTGGGGTAAGTTTAAAATGTACTCGGAATGGGATGAAGAGTGGGATTAATTATACCATTTTTCATATTACTGGAAAAAGCAAGAGTTGTAACAATTTGATATCGTGTGTGCAGCACATAAAGGACTTAAAGTATTTAAAGTACTTTGCATCTTCAATGCCTACAGTTATTTTCAGCTGATTTCTTCTAAAACTCTGTGTGGAGATGGAGCTCCTTAGTGTGCAGGACAATTTTGTGAGGCTGCATTTATAGTGAGGTCTCTAAAATGTCAGTTAAAAAGACCTTTTTTTTGCTCTCACCATCTAAGAGCTAAATTGAAGTATTGTGCTGAATTGAAGTATTTGAATGACAACCACATTAGAGTTAGCTGGAGACAAAACGCAAGAGTGATGAGAGGAAATAATGGGGTTTTTTTGTTCTCTTTTGAGGACAGGGGGTTGCTTTCCAAGTGGGATATTTAAAACAGCAGCAATTTCAGCCAGCAGGACTGAGACAGTCACCAGGAAGATCCCAAACATTTATTTAGGGAAACAGTGGATGCTTAACAACTGAAGTAGCAAAAGTGCATATGGATTTCCCTGCACTGTTGCCCATGTCATGATTTCCTAAGAAGCAGAATGGCTCAGAAAGCCAAATAGTAGCTGTTGTCCACCAAGGCTAGGCTGTAAATGCTTTACTGAACTTTACCTGCTTGCATGCTGATGCTTGGTGTTGTCTGTCCGTCTTTTTAATACATGATCCTCTGCACAGCTGATTGTTTCCGTGTGGGGGGAGCACTGGAAGGGTGAGCATGGTCACATAAATGCAGTGCAGGCTGCAGGACCTGCCTCCCCTCTCTCCACCACACACAGCTTTGTGCAAAAAACCCACCCCTGTGTTGCCTCAGCAGCACGTCGCTCCAGCCTTGTCACTCCAGCCTTCAACCCTGTGCCTGGGGGATAGCTAAAGAAGGCAACTCACTGGGACCTCCCCATCCCTCCTTCTTCCTTGGGGATCTCATGGGAAGTGGGTGCTGGCTCAGGCTCTGTTAGTGCTCACTGGTTGCCTGCTCTGCTTGGCGGGAGGGGCTGCAGCACCAGCTGCCTGTGCAAGGCACCAGGGCAGGGTTCTTTGCTGGTCACCAGCGGCCAGCATGGCAATCACCAACAGCAGAGGTGGCACTCAGCTTTGGTTCTTAGGCTCAGCAGATTTGGCTGCTGGAGGGAAGATAAAAACAAAAGGGGAAAATACATCCTTTTGCCATGATGGAGGAATGTGGTGGTTTTAACATCTTGAAATTATTCTCTGAGCTTTGCTCTGAAGATGTTATTCTGGCTTGATAGAAGCTGCAAGAATGTAAATGAGTTTTAATGCTCTACTCTGAAGAAATAACCACGTCTTTGCCATTTCTTGTCCCTAAAGCAGGGGACCATGGGATTGAATTGCAGGCCAAGACAGTCTGCTGATGGCTTCATGTGACTGGGTGTTGAGCCTGTCCAGTGGGGAGCTTGCAGAGGAACAATAACATCTTGTTGATGAGGGAACTACCCTTGTGGTGGGCTGGCATATCAGGCAAACTTTGGATTTGCCATGAGTGGAGGTCTGGTCGTGGTTTAGGAAAGCAGCTTCATGGAGGGCTTGTACTTGCTGCTGATGTGCACATGCATTCATGTATGTGCATATAGGAAGGGATTAATGGTGTGGGACTTGGTTAGTACTGAGACAAAAAGATGGAGGGGGAAATCCTCCCCAGCTTTTAACTGCCTCAAAGGGGCTGTAAAACAGATGGAGTCCAGAATCCTCCCAGAGGTGCACAGTGAAAGGCAATGGGCACAAGCTACAGCTAAGGGAAACCCCAACTGGATGTAAAGGAAAGTATTCTTCCTCAGGGTACTGGAAGGCCTAGAGCGACTGTGAAGACTCCAGCTGAAGAAATATCCAGCTGGACAGAGTCCTGAGGAACATGATCTAGTTTGACATTAGTCTTGATTTGAGCAGGAAGTTGAACTAGAGCCATGCAAGGCTCACCTGGACTCTGCTGTGAGCTTAGGACTTATCCAGTGCCAGCAGAGGCAGGATTTGACCAAGCAGCCCACATCCAGGGTCTTAGGGCCAAATGTCAACCCTATTTTTCAACCTCTTTTTGCACCCTTTAGGCACAAGCCAGACACTGTTCAGGCAGCTCAGGCTGACCAAAACCCTGGTCAGTGGTGAGGACAGTGTTAACAGCTTCCCCACCCAGCAGTCAGAGGGAACAGA